CTCATTCAGGAAAAATTTTTGACGTTTGCTACACACACGCTCACACACACACACACACACACACACACACACACACACACACACACACACACACACACACACACACACCTTCCTCCTCCCTTCTATCTTTTTCTGTTCTTTATTATGCTCATTATATCTTCTTCCTTCGTTTGTCGCCTTCTACTCCTCTTCCTCAAACTCCTCTTTTTTTCTCATCATATTTTGTAAGTTCTTTTGTTCTTAATTTCTTTCTTTTTCGTGAATTTTTACTTTTGTTTCTTTCTTTTCTTCCCCTCCTTCTTCCTCTTCTTCCCATATCCATCATGACTGTGTGTTTTGTGCCCCCCCCTCCCTCCCCCCTCCTCCTTCCTCCCCCTCCCTCCCTCCCCCTCCCCCTCCCCTCCCTCCCTCTCCCTCCTCCTCCTCCTCCTCCTCCCCCCTCCCCCTCCTCCCTCCCTCCCCCTCCCTCCCTCCCTCCCTCCCCCCTCCTCCTCTCTCCCTCTCCCTCCTCCCATGCTGTCCCCGTTATCATTCATAATTGCTTTACGCTTTGTTCCTCTTTTTTCTCCTATCATCTTTTTTTCATATTTTCTCTTTCTCATCCTTTATCCCTCTCTTTTTTATCCCTCTTTGTTCCCCTTGGTTACGTTGCTTATCGTGATTATCGTCTAATTCCTCCTTTTGTTATTGTATTTTGTCTGTTGTTCTTTTATTCCTTGTCTTTCTTCCCTTTATTCGTGTTCGTGGCTGTTGTTTATCTTTTATTTTTATTTTGTTTTCTTATTATCTTTTATTTTCTTCGACGTAAAAAAGAAAGTTTAAGATCTGATCAATGTTCTTCAGTTGTTGTTATTGTTGTCGTTGCTTTTTATTGTTTTTGTTCTTGTTTATGTTTTTTGTTCTTGTTTTTGTTCTTGTTTTTGTTCTTGTTTTTTGTTATTGTTGTTTTTGTTATTATTGTTGTTGTTGGGGTTCCATCTCTTCCACATTTCTTCTAACTTTCTCTCTCTCTTGTCTCGTCTGTATCTCACCATTATTCTCTTCCTCTTCCTCTCCCACATTAAGTTGTCCCTTTTATTATCGTCTTGTCTCTCCTCCTCCTCCTCCTCCTTCCCGCTGCGTTTCCGTTCTTAATATCCGTTCAATTACTTCTTCTTGTTCTTCTTCTTCTCGTTTTAATATTCCTCTTTTCTCCTCCTCCTCCTCCTCCTCCTCCTCCTCCTCCTCCTTCTCCTTCTCCTCTCCACTTCCTCCCCTTTCCTGTTTCCTCCTTTCTTCTCCCACATTCTTGTTCCTCTCTTCCCTCTCTTTTTCTCTCTCTCCTCTCCTTGCCCTCTCTCACCACCACCACCAGCCTCTCACCACCACCACCAGCAGGAGGGACAGGTGCTCCAAGACGTTCAGTGCCTGGGGCTGCGCTAACACTCACCTGTGCTTCTTATTACATACCTGTTCTCTCCTACTACTTCCTAAAGAGTGTATTGTGTATGTTTACCTGTGTGTGTATGTGTGTGTGTGTGTGTGTGTGTGTGTGTGTGTGTGTGTGTTTACTTCTTTACATCATTAATATTAACGCCGAAGACAGATGTAAGCTGTCACACAACGACTGAATTTACTCCACCTGACAGCAGTTTCTTCTTTACCACCGCTGTTTATCTGCACCTGTCCCTCCGTCCGTCTGTCCGTCTGATGGTTGGTACGCCTCTCCGTCCATCCGTCTGTCCGTCTGTACGTTCTTCCCTCCCCTCATCTTTTTATTAACAAGATTAAGCAGCAAAATGTATCCAACGAAGAACAATGAAATTTTTTGGTGTTCTTCAGCTGAATCGTCATATTACCTGAGGATATTTTTCAAGGTGTTTCGTCGATTTTTAAAGCCACCGCGTGTGAACTAAGGGAACACGAGCCAAGTCTGATCACTCCTTTCTGAAACACGATCTTATTAGTAATTATTAGATAAATTGAGGTTATTTTTTGATGATTTTTTATCGAGACTAAAATTGTTTCTGAAATTTGCGACTTTGTTATGAGAAATTATTATTATTATCAGTGTGAGTTTCCTCTTGAGTTTTAGGGATATTTCCGACAGCTATAATTTTAACGCGTTTTTTTTTCTCCAAAGTTGTGAAATGTATTTTGATATAGAGGCGATCATGTAAGAAAATATATTAAAAATTAACAAAACCTAACCTAAGCTAACCTAATCTAACGTAATTGAAGTAAATTTTGGTTATGTGTAGAATCCGAAGAATAGACGGACAGACGGACGAAAAGGACAGGACTGACAGGCCAAAGATACAATGTCCTGGAAACACTGACGAGGACATAAATATTCTACAGGAACAACTGAGAGAGAGAGAGAGAGAGAGAGAGAGAGGACGTGACACTGCACCTCTCACATTAGTTTAACTTACCCATAATTCCTGCTTGTTACTCAAATGTACATTAATAAGACGTAATGACCGGAGGAACTATATTGACCTTCTGGTTAATATATCGAGTCCATTATATTGTTCCACTAAGATATACTGTATGGTTCCTATAATGATTATTTTATACTGTCCCATTTTATATATGTTGGTGTTCAGGTCTGGCCCGGTATAGCACAGTGTGGTGTGGTGAGGCCCCGGGGGCGTCTTACTACCGCCGGAGGACACTGGGACTGACACACCCCAAGACGTTCTTACCCTGAGGCAGTTCCGCGCCTCCGGGAGGTGGCCGCCTGGGATCCCACACTATCTCACTGCTCTGTAGGGGGTGAAGGAGGGGACGGGACGGAGAGAACTCGTGAGTTTGTATGGAAGGAGCCCATGAGTTTCTTGGGGGTGAGGGAAGGAGTCCATGGGTTTCTAGGGGGTGAGGGACGGAGCCTGTGGGGTTCTATGGGGGAGAAGTCTGGGGGTGGTGGAGGGAACACATGTATCCTCAGGAGCGACGAAGGTGCCTATAATTCTCTGGGGTTGACGGAATATAACGTTGGTTTCTGGGGGTGAGGAGTGAGACGCTAGGGGAGGTTCCATAAGCGTGTGTCACTTCTCTGGGGGATATGGGGAGATGTTCACAGTATCCTTTGCTGCTATAAAGGAACTGGCGGAGGCGGGCAGGGGGTGACGGAAGGGGTCCCACAGTATCCTTCGATTATCTAGGGCCTAGGATAGGGTCCCACAGTAAGCCAGCGTTCCCTTAGGGGTTTGGGGGGAGGGGGGACTCAAGGCATTCCTCTGTTCTCTAGGAGTGAAGGCGGGAATCCTTCAATATCTCTTCGTTATCAGGAGGCAAGAGAGGTATCCTATAACGAGCCTTCATTATCCAAGTCTGCTTATTCCTTCACACACACACATTATTTTCTCTCTCTCTCTCTCTCTCTCTCTCTCTCTCTCTCTCTCTCTCTCTCTCTCCCTCTCTACTCGCCTCCCTCTCTACTCGCCTCCCTCTCTACTCGCCTCCCTCTCTACTCGCCTCCCTCTCTACTCGCCTCCCTCTCTACTCGCCTCCCTCGCCCATTTCCTCCCCTCGCCGCCTTTCTCAGCGGGCCGTTGTAGGGTACACCCGAGCTCGGCGTAATCAGAGGCGTCTTAATCACAGGTTGGGTGGGTAATGGCCCTCGCCCGGCTAATTACGTATGTCACCTGCCCGCTGGACCAGATGCATCACTTCCCCTCTCCTCCACCTCCTTCTCCTTCTTCTTCTTCTTCTTCTTCTCCCCTTCTTCCTCCCCCTCCTCTTCTTTCTTCTCCATTTCTCTTAGTCCTCCTCCACCCTCTTCCTCTCACTAGTGGTGGTGAGTGTGTGTGTGTGTGTGTGTGTGTGTGTGTGTGTGTGTGTGTGTGTGTGTGTGTGTGTGTGTGTGTGTGTGTGTGTGTGTGTGTGTGTGTGTGTTGCTGGGTACGGATGGAAGTGGGAGAGTAAGGACACGCTATACTATGATTAACACACACACACACACACACACACACACACACACACACACACAACCTTAATAATACTCTTTTTCCCACAGCTAGTCTTTTCCTCCCTCTTAGCTGTGTTTACAGGTGAATAATGTGAGTAGCAACATATACAACTACTGTATGTATAAGCGGAAGAGGGAGTTGCTTCTCACATGACGTAATGTGAATAATGTACTGCGTTTTGCGGGAGTCTCATGCCTAGGTAGATGAGGTGTAGTGATATTTTGTGGTTAATTACCGCCGCCACGCTCACGCTAATCACAGCTCCCTCAGGGCAGAGCCAAGGTCATTACTCATCATCTTGGAGGAACAGTTATGAGTTAATTACTACCTTCAGGGGTCCTTAAGATGGTGGTTTAGGAGTATAATGTACTGTGTTGGACCCCCCTGGACCCCCTCTCTCTCTCTCTCTCTCTCTCTCTCTCTCTCTCTCTCTCTCTCTCAATATAAACTTCAAGACATTATTCGTAACTATGTGAAGCTTCGTCTCGTCTCGGGTGCTGTAGAGTGATTCACTTGTTCCTATAATACATTGTGTACTAAACCTTCCGTAGACCGGCACTGTACTAGACTGTCTTCAGTATCTCAACTGTAAGGTCAGGCACTCATTTACATCTTTGTGGATTAGTAGTGCCCCGGGATCGAACCAACAACTCTTAGGACAGTAGGAGAGCGTTGTGACCACTCGGCTTCCCCACTTCCTAGGTTGTAAATAGATTTTTTTTCTACGGATGGCATGGATTATGGTGGTGCTGTATATGTCTGTCATCTATGGTAAAAAAAGGGTAGTATTTTGTTTTGTTTTGGTTTAGGTTTAATGTTAGGTTAGGTTTACCTTGTTAGATGATCTGTATACACTTGTGGTTGATCCGAGACACAGGTTATGCCACGAATGAATCATTAGGTGGCACGAATGATTGTGTTGATTCACGGTTCCTCGGTTACAGTGAGAGGTCTCATCACTCAACTAATGAAGTGAGCTGTCCCGACTAATAGTTGGGATGATAGAGTGAGTTGTGTCACCTCATAAGTCATGTTACGAAATTTGCTTTACCGACTCCGGGTAGGTAGCACCCCGGGTAGGTAGCACTCCGGGTAGGTAGCACCCCGGGTAGGTAGCACCCCGGGTAGGTAGCACTCCGGGTAGGTAGCATTCCGGGTAGGTAGCACCCCGGGTAGGTAGCACTCCGCAGGTAGCACCTGCAGGTAGCATTCTGGTAGGTAGCACTCGGGCAGGTAGCACCCGGTAGCACTCGCAGGTAGCACTCCGCAGGCACTCCGGGTAGGGTAGCACTGGCAGGTAGCACTCCCGGTAGGTAGCACTCCGGGCAGTAGCACCCGGTAGGTAGCACTCCGGGTAGGTAGCACCCGGCAGGTAGCACCTGCAGGAGTAGCACCTCCGGCATGGGTAGCATTCTGAGGTAGTACCCTGCAGCACTCGGGTAGGTAGCACTCCGTAGGTAGCACTCCGGCAGGTAGCACTCCGGGTAGGTAGCACCTGGCAGGTAGCACTCCGGCAGGTAGCACTCCGGGTAGCACCCGGGTGCAGTAAGTAGCACTGCAGGCAGCAACCCCGGGCAGGCAGCACCCGGCAGGGTAGCACCTCGGGCAGCACCTCGTGGTAGCACTCCGGCAGGTAGCACTGGGTAGGTAGCACCTTGGCAGGTAGCATTCTGCAGCACCCGGGTGGCAGCACTCCCGGTAGGTAGCACTCCGCAGGCAGCACCCGGTAGGTAGCACCCGCAGGTAGCACTCGGGTGCAGCACTCCGGGCAGGTAGCACCCCGTAGGTAGCACCTGCAGGGGTAGCACCCCGGCAGGTAGCACCTGGGTAGGTAGTACTCTGTAGTAGCACTCTGCAGGTAGCACCGGGTAGGTAGCACTCCGCAGGTAGCACCTGCAGGTAGCACCTGCAGGTAGCACCTGTGGTAGCACCTGCAGGTAGCACCTGCAGGTAGCACCCCGGTAGGTAGCATTCCGCAGGTAGCACCCCGCAGGTAGCACTCCGGTAGCACCTCGGGTAGTAGCACTCCGGCAGGTAGCATTCCGGTAGGTAGCACTCCGGGTAGGTAGCACCCCGGGTAGGTAGCATCCCGGGTAAGTCGCTCATTATTAGCAGCAGAACCACACGACGGATGGTCAGCAGTGGGTTGACGAAGGAGGAGTGCCGACACGAGAGCCCTCGAGATTAATGTGGTGTAAATGATCGTCCTCCTCCCCCTGACATGTTGAAGCAGCTCCCTATATCCTCTGAGTCTTATTCTAACTCCATAAGAGAAGGAGTTGGTTGTGTAGGGACAGATATTAGTGCTTATAGAGCTCGTTGAACCATTTCTTGCTCGAGCAGGTGTTTCAGGTCACATCCTCCCGGTGTGTGGCTGGCCTCTGCTGCAGTGTAAGGACCAGGTGACCGGCCAGTCTTAAAGCTGCGCCTTCTTTCTCTGGGGTGAGGAAGACTGTAGCTATATTGTACTGATGAAACACAGTCAAGTGGCAATATATACTGATGTTTATTATCTTATTTCCTGAGTATGTATAATGTACCTAACTGTTTGACTTGAGATAAAACACAAATGTAACGTTGAGAAATAACATCAGAATTATACTGAGACTGTCGTAACGCCAAGCTCATTTACCAGCTGTTAGGAGACAACATGAAGGTAGAAAATCATTTGAAAATAATCTCTTTACTTTTCCTCCAAATATATACTAAGTGAAATTATGTTGTTGGTTTTGACCATCATTTTGGGTATTTTAAGCCAACAGTTGCCTTGTGGTTTATTAAATGAACTGCCATCGCAAGAACTCTAGTGTTTGTATGTCTGTTAAATCTAGGTCAAATATTTGTGTTTGTTTAGTGTCAGAGATTACAGCATATGTTGGACCCTTCAGCAGTGTTCTTGCTTTGTTTTTGTTTTTATATGTGTATTAGTGTGGTGATTTGTGGTGACCGTGAACACTCCCGCCCCCTGTAGACTGGCTGGCCCTTACGTCAGGAGGATCATGAGGTGACTTATAGGTAAAGTTTAGTATATTTGTAAGTCGGATTGTTATTGTGTATAATTATCGGCGTTGAAACATCCTCAACTGAATGAGGAATGATCGAAACATCAACAGTTATAACGGAAAGCCTCGATACATCTTCAACTAACACAAGAACCGAAATATCCTAAAAGCGCAGGTGACCCACGCGCCCTACATTGGTGTCAGGACACGAACGGCGTTTCTCCTGCCGTTGGCGGGGGACTGCTCCAGAAACCATGCACCCGCGATGCCCCTCAGGACTACTCCTTGACCGGAGAGAAAGCCGTTCAAGGGCCCTCACGCCACTGCAGGACACATCAACTAGTCGTCTGCGTTATCATGTGTGGTGACGTGATGGTTGATAGACGATAAGCGGTGACGTAAGTGGTCGCGTCACCTGTGTCAGAATCTTGAGGTGTGCAAGAGTGACTGGGAAAATGTAAAGACAAATCTTGTATTGTCTTTTCTGGGCTGTCATCGACTGTATGCACAGACTGGTTCCCATTGCATGTATACCTGCATATTGTTCAGTACAAACATAACTAATGTGAACTTGTTTGGTGATTAAACTGAATATTATTTATTTATATATCTGCGTTGAATGATGAAAGCAGCGAACATCATGTAAGTCAGCTCTTTCAATCCGATTATAATATAGTGATTAAACACACAAACACACACACACAAACACACACGCTGCCAGTTAATTATTATTTATTATTACATATACTACACGCACACGCACGCGGTACAGATAGTCCTTCTCCTCACTCACTTTTCACGCTGATTGCATTATGTATTTATTGGTCCCATGGTGTAATGGTTAGCACTTTGGACTCTGAATCCAACAATCCGAGTTCGAGTCTCGGTGGGACCTTGTAACAGTTTTGGATCCAGAGTCCATCATGTTTTTAAAGCACACAACAGCTCGGCCCAACAGATCGATAATGGACTTCATCGACTTGTGAAGTGTAGTGAGAGAAAGTAGGAAGGGAGTGAGTAGAGGACCGCGTGTTGTGAGGGAGTGAAACATAAGGCGTGCCAACCCTGCCAAATTTTGCTTCTGCTGTGTCTCGCCCCCACCTCAGCAACACACACACACACACACACACACACTCCGTACCCTACTCCTTCGCCCGGGGTTGTGAAGCTTGGTTATAGGGAGGTTGTTGATAGTGGGAAGGTCCGGGGTGTGTGCGTATGTGTGTGTGCGAGTGTATGTATGTATGTTTGTCATCTACACTCCAGTATACTGTGGCTATGTATGCTGCCACTGATGATACTGTGTCGTCCGGAATTAACCTTAAGCATCTCGGCGACCCTCTGTCTGGTTCCTCGCCACCCGCAGCTTCATGCACGGTCACCCATACAAGTCATCCCCTCGTCGGCGTTACTTCCTACAGCTGTGTTTTAGTGGCCATCCAGCCGTCCATTACGTCGGTGTGTATGATGCATGAGACGGATGGTGGTCCCTGGTCGAGCTAGTGGTCCAGGGACAGATTAGGCGATGGTGTTCTTCTTCGTCTGGGTGAAGGTCCTCCACTAGTCTGGCTGGCGGTCCAATGGTTGACGGGCCATGGCTATAGGCGGGTTGATGGTCCGTGGCCAGGTTGATGGTCCGTGGCCAGATTGATGGTCCATGGCCCAGGTTAATGTTCCGTGCTACCCACTTTCCATCATCCCCGCCTGCCACACACACACTCGCCAGGATAAGACACATGACAGTGATCGTCAAGGGAGGAATATTTCTCGCGTTTCAGTTGAGTGATTCCTCGTTATGCGTATGTAATGCCACTGGGTGTGTAATTACCAGTTGATACTGCTATTAAGGGGGTAATGAAACGCACTGGAGACAAGAGAAAATCCAACTTTGACTGAAGAGAGACAGTGGAGAGTAATGTCGAATCTAACTAGTTAAGAATACGATGGATTGTATATGTCTACTGTGTTGCTAGGTTAGGTGAGGTTAGGTTATGTTTAGGTTAGGTTAGGTTAGGTAGAAGTCTTGAGGAATGTGATGGAAGAGGAGGAAACTGTAAATAACACAGGTGGTCATGGCCTGCTCTCACACCCCATAATCCTGTCAGCCAACCACACACACACACACACACACACACACACACACACACATACACACACACACACACACACATATATACACACACACACATATACACACACACACACACACACACACCGTTCCCTCAGTTGACTTCATCTATGTTTGATTAATTTCCATAAAGGTTTGAGATTTCTAGCCCCCTCAAATTTCTACACTACTAAGAGTATTATGATTTCGTACTCAAGGGCTTAAGATATCGTACTCAAGGTGTTATTTTTATCGTATTCACGGGGTTTCGATATTGTACTCGAGGGGTTAAGACATCGTACTCAAGGGGTTAATGGAGAGTACGATGGGGAGAAACCAGGCAAGCGAGACGTAACCACACCTCTCAACTCCTACATGATCCACCCGGGTCTTTGGGGAACAGCAGCTGCCGCCTATACCTCGAGGGGCGGCTGTGAGGCCAGGTAGAGTCAGGTGGAGGGCCAGGTAAAGTCCTTAAGGGCCAGGTAGGGAAAGTAGGGAAATAATTAAGGAGGAAATAGACAGGAATGTGAGGATTTGTAGGGCAGTGACCGAGGGTATGTGGGCAGGTGCTGTGCTGGTCAGGATGAAACAGACATCAGAGGAGGTTATTATCCCTTAGTGTTAGTTTGTGATGGATTAAGTGGAGGTGTGCACTGTGACGTCTTATGCTAGACCTTTGCCTCATATATAGTGGATATCACAAGTTAGTCCAGGGGCTTGTGTGATGTGGGTCTGACATTACATATTACAGACAGATTAAGTTAGGTTAGGTTAGGGTTGGTTTGGTTAAATTAGGTTTGGTTTGGTTAGGTTTGGTAAAGGTAGGTTAGGTTAGGTTAGGTTAAGTTTGGTATATGCCCACCCCCCCCCTCCTATGGTTTGGCTATCGGTAAGCCACTTGGTTTTGACATGCCGGTGGCGTAAACTTACACCTAACCTAACCTAACCTAACCTCATCCCACCCAAATAACATCGAGACGGTATCTGAAAATGAACGGAGGACGCGGCGCCTTTCTGCTACACCATTAATTAATGAAGGCCATATATACAGGTTGTGTTGGTACAATAAACAAGGCAATTATCAGATTAGTAGAGAGGGAGTGGAAGACCAGGAGGGGGAGAGGGGGAAGGGGAAACAGTACGTGGGGGGAGGAGAACCACTTTATTATGGGTGGGTCTCATGATGGTAGTGTTTAGGGGGGAGGGGAGGAGCAGAGTGACCATTCCTATTGGAGTTAGAAAACGTTTAGAATATAAGAGTCTCTCTCTCTCTCTCTCTCTCTCTCTCTCTCTCTCTCTCTCTCTCTCTCTACCTCTCTCTCTCTCTCTCTCTCTCTCTCTCTCTCTCTCTCTCTCTCTCTCTCTCTCTGCTGTTTACTTACCATGACGTCTGATAGCTGTTGTTGTTGTTGTTGTCTTAGTGTTATTTACAGGTGTAATTATGAATCACCTTAAGATTAACCTAACCTAATCTAACCTAACCTAACCTAACCACCTAAGCTCTTTTATCCCTGCTCCACTTCACCCCCTACTCCTATCCCAGGCCCCTCTTCCCTCACTAGTCCCCTCCCAATCTCCTCCCCTCACCTTCCTTCACCTCCCAGGTCTTGTTTCCTTATCATTACCCTCACCTTCCTCCCTCCCCCTTCTCTCCCCTAAGCTACATCCCCCTTCTTCCTCTTCTTCCCCTCTTCCTCTTCTCCCCCTCTTCCTCTTCTCCCCCCTCTTCCCTCTTCTCCCCCTCTCTTCCCTCTTCTCCCCCCCCTCTTCCTCCTTCTCCCCCTCTTCCTCTTCCTCACCTCTCCTTCCTCTTCTCCCCCTCTCTTCCTCTTCTCCCCCCCTCTTCCTCTTCTCCCCTCTTCCTCTTCTCCCCTCTCTTCCTCTTCTCCCCCCCTCTTCCTCTTCTCCCCCTCTCTTCCTCTTCTCCCCCTCTCTTCCCTCTTCTCCCCCTCTTCCCCTCTTCTCTCCCCCTCTTC